TGAAAGTAACCGTAAGTCCTGGGGTCAGGGAGGTGCCTATTGCTGTCCTCATGAAAACCCACCTAGATTGGGCTAAGTTATAAGCATCTAGAAAATGCTGCGTGAACATGCTTAGTAGAGCCCGGTTAGAGGCTTGCTGATAAACTCTCTGAACAGTCCATCTGCACTGAGCATGCTCCAACCCCACAGAGCTTCCTGTGCATCAACTGCTATAAGCGTGCTCAAGTTCCATAGAGTTTCCTACAAGCCAATGGTACTGAGCATGCTCCTCGCCTTCGCTCAGGGTATGTCTACACTTCAGTCATTGGGCCAAAATCTGCACTCCAAGCATGCAGACACCTGCTTCCGACGGCACTTACAGCTGCGTGTGTGTGGAGCGAGAGGGAATCTGACCTGCAGAGGCTGGAGGTGGAAACGCTCTGCTAAGTACTCCAGTCCATCTATCTCATGGTCAGTGCAGGCTTGTTCCCTACAGAGCGCGAGCTAGCACTGTGCTCGCTCCACCCAGAGTCCATCGTGAACATGCAGCATGTGGCACTAAAACATCGACAACTGCCACGTGGCAATAGTTGACTTTATTGCAGAATTCCCTACCCTGCAACTAGGAAATACCACCTTAAGCTGATCTACTAAAGATTAAAGATTGTGAAGTACTTTGAGATCTACTGATGAAAAGCATTAGATAAGAGCTAGGCATTATTATTTTATTACTACTGCAGCCAAGCAGTAAATGCAGATTATTCTTTTAAATGGTGCCCACTTTGTTCAGAAAATATTTTCCTTATTGTTTTAAAATGCTCATTTCTACTAATGGGTTACCAGATTAAATAGCCAGCCACAAACCCCCACAACAGCTAGGACAAAATCCACTGCCAAATGAGAACAAATGAGCCAAACATGAATTAGCCGAGTAAGAAAAGCGAGATCGGACCTAAAGAACACAGTTCAAACAGAAACACCTCAGCCTTGGCTGATCCACTGTTACCCACCAAAACATTGGAAACTGGGTGTATAATTCTTGCACTGCTGCACATTTCGAACGCTGTCTCTGAGCATCACACCCTCGATTGACATGTTTGAGGCAGGGCTGATGGGTGAGGTCAGCCTCACAGACACTTATGGGGAATTCTCCAAATCATCTTCCCCACCTTTGGCAAAGCAAACCAGCCCCAGGCTTTGGCAGGAGGCACAGCCTGCCTGACCTTTCAGTCCCTCAGCACCATGTCAGCAACGTGAAGGGCTGCTACAGTACCAAGTTAGTTACCTACAGCTGTGTGTCTGGAGTGGGGTGATGTATGAGTTCAGCACCATCAGGGCCGGCTCCAAGTTTTTTGCCGCCCCAAGCAAAAAAATTCCCCCCCTGGCTCCGCCCCATTCCAAAACCTTCCCCAAATCCCTGGCC